GCACTCAGGATCGCGCTGTGTCCCGACACGGGTGCTCCATTCCCGCCGCCATTTTCCCCCATCCATTCTTAGTTTTTCCTATGTTGCAAGCAAAATGTCATTTAACTTAAATTGACCAAGCTTTTTTCTTTTAGAGAAACCAAAGATTGTAATCTTATAGCAATCCCGATTAGATTTCTTTCTCAGACAACAGATTGTTAAGTTTGTGTTATGAATGTGAGCAGGTGGCTTGACTCTGTAGAGCAGGCAGTGGGCATTCCAGAATTCTTTTCCCCAAGCACCCAAAGGCTTTTGGAGGAACTTCCTCTTTGGGCATTTAGATGTCACTTCTCTTCTGTGGGAATGAAATTGTGTGCAAAACGATGCTGTCTAGCCTAAGTGAATCATTGTGCAGTATATACATGTATTGAAACAATATACTGTACACCACAAATATGTACAAGTAAATGCTAAAATAAAAAAAAAAAAACTGTGTGCTCTGTGCTTGGATATCCATTATATAGCTTTATAGTTCATTTGTTGTATGTCTATTACATCTTATCCACAGGGTTGTCTTACATATGTTATCACATCTTATTGAATCCTCACAACTTCCCCATGAAAGAGTTATGTCATAGGCATATAATATTATTTCCACTTTTCAGATAAGGAAGATGAAGTTTAGGTAGATCAATTTCCCAGTGGTTACACATCTAGCACCTAATGATAGCAGGATTCATCATATCTGTCTGCCTTTTTCAAATATAATACCTGACCTGAGAATAAGCAAGCAGAAGAGTTTTCAGAAATGAGGTTGGGGAAGTAGTTTTGAATTTTATTCTAATCAAGACACCAATTTTTACATTCATTTACTCTTCCACTATCTATTAACTGGGTACCTAATGTGTGCCAAACAATCTAGGAACTGGGGACAGCACAGTGAATTAGAAAGCATAAATCTCTGTTTATCAGAAGCTTACATTCTGGTTATTGGAAATTTTGAGCTGAGAAATGACATGATCTGGCTTAGGTTTTACGAAAGTCCTTATGACTACAATGTGGAGCATCACCTGTAGAGAGGTGAGGGCTGCAGCAGGAGGACCAGTTAGGAGGTGACTGCAACAACCCAGGCAACAAAGGGTGGGCACTTGGACTAGAGTGGTACCAGAGGTGAGAAGGTAGGTTCTGGATGGACTTAGATGGAAAAGCCAATGGGATTTGCTAAGGAATAGTATGTGGAAATTGCTTGTTCAGGCTTCAGCTGGAGCTACAATCAGCCTGCATCCTAAACCTGTTCTCTTTTAATTATGGTAAAATGCTCAAGTGTAAAGTGACTTCACAACTATATTCAGTTTAGTAAAAAAATGTATCTCCTCCATTTCAGCTCCTTAGTGCTAGGCCTATCAAAGGAGGATGCCTGTTGGTGCCTGGAGCGGGCAGGACAGAGCTCGTCTTGGGAGCATTTTGTCATTCAGGCTGCGGCTGAGCATGTGTGTGGTTATACTTGAGATTTGAAATGCATCCATCTCAGAGCCACTCAGAGTGCATTTCAGTCTTTCCCTATGACTCCTCTGTGAGGAAGAGGGAAGACAGATTCTCTTAATAAGATTCAAGTACAGCTCACATTTTTCTGCTTTTGTTATTTCTCAGAAAAGACATTATCAGGTCCAAATCAGAACAGATTTTAATTCTTGGTCACAAAGTATCACTTTTAGCATACTGTTTTACCATTTTTTCAAGTTTGGAAAACAGAGCTTCCTTGAAGTTAACTTTTACTGAGTAGATAGAGTTGCACAAAAATGGCTCTGGATATGTGATATCTGCCATTAACTTTCATAAGTCCAGGATACAAATTTGTATATCATAAGTTAATGAAATTGGCACCAAACTGTTTGTGTAGTAATATGGTGAATAAATGTCATCGTCATTCAATTAATTTTCATTGACCTTAAGTGAATGACCTTATATTTCCAAGTAGGAGAAGAAATTGGCTATGGCTAAGCATAAGTGTCATATCCTCTTCTCAGTTGTTACATTACTAAGGATGGCATGGGCAGCTAACCATACTCGTGGATGTGAACTAAGAAGTAATCCCCTACACACCTTATCGTGAAGTAGAGTCAAATGATTAGGTTTCAATTAAAATCATCGGAAGGCCCTGTGATCTGCTTAGAGTCCCCCTAACAGCATCTTTTGTATGTGATCTAATATCTCACTGAACTGGACACCCATGGAGTCATGCTTGGCAGGATATTTAGTTAAGGATGTGGTTATAGGCTCTCACTGGCATGCAGGAAGCATTTGTCACAACCCTTTTCTCCATTAACCTGTCCTGGAGAACAGCCTTGACGTGGCTCCTTTGCCACGTCAGCCATACCCTGAAGTGAGAAGCCATACCAGTGAGAGATGGGTGCCTCTGATTCCCCCGCTTCCACCTCTATAACGCAGTGAGGGGCCCAGCCATTTTAAAAAAATTCAAAGTCAACTGAAGTATCACTTCTTTTATTGTTTTCCTCAGGACTGCAACCAAAGAGGACTTTGCGCCTGGTGCTTTGGACTGCAGAGGAACAAGGTGGAATTGGTGCCTTCCAGTATTATCAGTTACACAAGGTAAAAACTCAGCCATGGACTGCTGAGCATTCGCACATGTAATATCACATGTAACATCTTCTTTAATTGTCTCATTTAAGACTGAGCCTGGCAAACACCCCTGTTTCATCCAGCTCGGTAATGAGAATACACTGGTGAAATGAGGATGCTGTGGTGTAGAGTCAAAGGCATTTCTATTTCTGTATCATAGTCTGTGGCCTTCAAAAAATCGCAATTGCCATGCTGCCATTTTCCTGAAGTCTCTCTAGTTCTGCTAAACTCATGTATGTCAGAAACCCCACTGAGCCAACCCCCATACCTCAATGCCCCAAATCCTCCTGGAAAGCCTGCTATTTGAGAGCCAGGTCCTGAGGCCTTGAATCAGCCAAGAGTGTTTACCATAATGGTAGTGGGAATGGCAGCAGCCAGATTTCTCAGATGTGGAGGACAGCTTGGTTTGACACTGACTGCAATTAGGCAAGAGTGAAGCTTGAAGCAAGAAGGTAATTGTGGAAGATTATGATTAGAAATACAAAATCACATTTAATATGGGGGATAGGGAGATTAATATCAAGAACGATATTTTACAAAGCAAAATGTACAGGCTCAGGAATACTGTGGATCAAGTCGAATGTGAGTTCAAAGAGGATCTCTCAAATCAACAGGCAGTAATGGTCGGGCAGAGGAGGAGGATCTGGTCTGTTGCTGCTGCTGCTGCTGCTGCTAGATTGTTTTCCCTGCATCTCCAAAAATTAGAAGAAACAGATCCTGTAAACTTAAATTATCCCAATCAGATAGGGGTTTATTTGTTTTGTGAATTGTGTTTATGTCCTTTTCGATCATTTTACACAGTCTCTATAACACTATTTTAGTTAGAGCGTAATGAGTTCAGGGTCATGAATTTGGTCACTGAGTATAATTATTTAACTATACAAAGGGCAACCTAGGCCTTATGCCCAAATCTTTCACCACTTCAATTCTTTTGGCCTCTAGTGATCCTGGGGATAAGAAAATTCAACACAAGTGTCCTTTGGTTGGTGGGTCAGTAACATAATCTTCTATAAGTTTTGGTAGAATGCAACATCAGATGAGGGTTGTTCTAGATTCAGCAACATTCAATTAATATTTTCTGAGCACCTACTATGATCCATGCACTGTGTTAGGCATTGGAGTTAGTATTGTTAAAGAGATTCACCCTGACCTTAAGAGCCTTCAGTCTAAAGAAGGACACTGTCTCCTAAATTTCCATTATAAAATAAGCTGTTAAGTCTTCTGATAAAGAATAAGGTATTAATGCAAAAGAAGTTCATCTAACCTGTCTTTGAAGGGCAGTCAGAATAAGTTATGTGCAAAAAATGACTTCTAACCTGAGACCTGAAGACTGAGTAGAAGTAAGCTAAGGAAAAGGAGTGGGAGGGAGGAGATGAGTACTACACCTTGGAAGAGGGAATTGTACAAGTATACGCAATGGCTGGAGTTAAGAGAAAGCACTGCACACTGGAGAATTAGCAAGGAATTCAGAGTGGCTGGTGCCTAGAATGCAAGATGCATAGTTTTAGGAGCATGGAGTAAAGAAGTAAAAAATAGCCTAAACAGGAACATATAAATCATGTTTAGAGATTTTGGCTTATCCTCAGGGCAAGAAGAATAACTAAATTATTTTTAAGGAGGAGCTTTAAAATTCATATACATGTTGGACTTTATAAAAAAACAGAATACCTAAAAGTGCTGTACTAAAACTCTTTTAATCTCTATAATATAATAAACTGCAATGGATCTGGTTTGAAATTTCCTCACTACTGAAATTCCTAGGATCTGAAAAAAGGTTTATTTCTCTATAAGGTTTTGAGTTTCACTGTAGCTTACTAAAACACATGGATGAAATCAGAAATGATTTGCTTCTAAACTTCTAAGAGGTCAGTAAGGATACACTCATACACACTCAAAGGACGTGCAAACACATTAACAGAACTGGTTTATCTTGACAGTGTTCGTGTTGTCTTCATACAAATGTGTTTACATACCAATACCTAGTCTGCATTGCATTTATGGAGATTTTCAGAAATTCCAGAAAGGGAATACCTTTACCTCATCTTTAAAAAGAAATTCTGCATGTTTTACATGATACAGCCAATTTCAAAAACTTATTCTGGATTCTTATGATGAACATATTGATAGAAGCATTGTCAAGAGCATAATCGTTTCTGGGGTGTCTGAGTTTAACTTAAAAGTAAATATAATAAGCAAGTCACAAACCAGGGGAGATAGATCAGATTGTCTTTAGACTTCTCTATAGCATTATTGAATGCCAACAGACAGTCCAACGATATTCAATTCACTCCAGTTAACAACAGAGAGATTATATTCTCTGTTCTAAATAAAATGATAATAACTAAAATGAATAAGTCCTCAAATTTCAATGGCTTAACATAATAGAAATGTATTCCTTGCTCATTTAACATCCAATCTACAGTAAGGCTCTGCTCCATATAGTTATTCAGGGATCCAAGCTGACAGACTCTTTTGCAACATGGCTTTTAATATGCCTTGAACATTGACATCCAGCTGGCAGGCAGGGGGATAGTGGGAGGTTTTTATGGGACAGTTCTGGAAATGGTTTACATCATTTCTACTCACATTCCATTGGCAAGAACTGGTCATGTAGTCCAACTGCATAAAAGGCTTGGAAATACGGACCCTGGCTGGGCAGCCTCATCCCAGATACTATACCATAGAACAGGAGAACACGTCTTTGGGGGAAGGCTGACCCACTCTGAGGTCTTTTTCTCACTATTTTTAGCTTCCCAAACATTTCCAGCTGCACAAGAGACCAATTGCCCCGAGGTCTTCATCTCCCATGGTTCTCAAAGTGAGATCAGCTCTGTGAGCTGCCTAAAAGTACTCATCACCACCACTACCAGGAGGCTTTTGCCAATCAACACACAAAAAGAAAAGAAGGTCCACAAGGACCTTACATTCTATTTAAAAATAACTTTAAACTCACACATAAGAAATTTAGCATAATAAACAATATACAAAGAGGGCCTAAATTACTTACTGAAAGTATTTTATTTTTGTGAAGGATTTTTATCATTGACAGAGTCCTCAGTGATGTAAAGGCCTTAACATGGTAAATGTAAAGGAGTTAGAAAATGGAGAAATGACTATGACAGATCAGTCTTGAGGAAGGATTCAAGATCTAATCTTTGCTGTGTAAATGGATTTGAATGAGTGATCAAGAAGGGAGAGAAGGGACAGCTACTACCCTTCATACTGATGATAACTGAGTCCTGAGGTTAGCCTTTTATCACTGTGGGTGATACCAAACAGGAACAGAACTTTTATTTGGGGAGAATCTATTTTGGTGATTATAAAAATAAAAGGTTTGAACTTTTAAAATTACTATTCTAGCATTTTCATGGTACAGTTATGTTATTAGTGATCTATATCAGGAATCAACAAATTATGGCCTGTAGCCCAAATCTAGCCTGCCACCTGTTTTTGTACAGACCTCAAGCTAAGAATGTTTTTTATGTTTTTAGGTGTTGTGCAAGAGAGACTCTACATTGCTTCCAAAGTTTAAAATATTAACTATCAGGCTCTTTACAGAAAAAATTTGCTGGCCCCTAGTCTATATGTTAAAAATCATAAAATATTTTCATGTTATTTCCACTCAATAATCTCTTTATGGTCCTGTACAACCCAAGATGATTTTGTAAATTTTGTTTGGAGCCAGATGTTTTCTAAGATAAGTATTTGGCAGGAAGATATTATTGCAATAATGTAAATGTGCATGCATAATTCTTTTTCTTGTATTATTTTTTTGATTATACATATTTATGGAGTACAAAGTTGTATTTCAATACATGTATTCAATATGTAATGATCAAATCAGGGTAGTTAGCAAATTCATCATCACAAATATTTCTCATTTCTTTTTCTTTTTGCATTCTAATTTGGTAAAGTTTAATAATAAAACTGACTCAACCTATATGGCACCAACCATGGAGAAAAACAGTATGTACAAAATTATTATTTCTTGTTTTTGTTGCTGTGACTGTATTCTTTCTTCCTCCCACAGAATCTTTTTGATAGTAAAAGTTCTACAAAAGCTATTTCAGTGGACATATTTAGCTAAACTTTTGTGGGAATATTCATTATCCTTTTCTTAGTAAATATATCTTTGTTTACAATGTACTTTTATTAATATATGCATAGAAAAATGAAAATTAAAGTAGTTTTTAATTATGTGGTAAAATTTATTGCCAAACATTTTCAAAATTATAATTAGATTAATAGCTACCTTTACTTTATAATTATGCTTTCTCATGAAATATTAGCTCAATTATTATAGTAACTGCTAGGGTTTACTAAATTTACTAAACAATTACTAAACAATTTACTAAATTGTTTTGAAATATGTGAGTCTATTTGTGGTTTGTGTACAAATTTTGAAACTCATATGCAACTTTATTATAATGTCTAAAACACTTTTTCCAAGAAAACAAACTTTGGCTCCAAAAGATATATAAGCATTTTGGTGGAAGTTACTAAGTAAAACAATTCGAACAGTAAATATTGAGTTTTTCACTATATGTTAGGGTCAACTAGAATAAAAATTATTCCTGGGAGCATTCAGTATGCCCATAACAGTTCATAGCAGGAAGTCCCATAAAGGATTGGTATACATATTTTTCTCTTATTCAGAAAATGCTAGTTTGCATATTTTGGTAAGTTGTAAAATTTTCTCCCTTGGTTTTAAAGTTCTTTCCACTGACTCTCTATCTCTCTACATTAGCACATGAACTTTTGAATTATTTATATGTGTATTGTTCGTGCTTTATGTTTATTGATTACTTTAGAAGTAGCTCATTAGTTTTCATGCTAACAGTATTGAGGTTTAATTAGCATTCAGTAAATGCACAGATCTTAAGTATACAGCCCAATATATTTGGAAAACATATACCCTTGTGTAATCGTCACCCAGATCAAGACACAGAGCATTCCTATTACTCTAGAAA